TCAATGATGTTCCCTGAGTTAAGTCCTCCCGCCCCCCTCAAGGGGGTGGGCTCTGAGGAAACTTGTTTTTTTCAGGCTTTTGTTCTCTGGAGGTTTTTATGTTTGTTCACTTTTTTTCTCTCTCCTTGACCACTTTTGATGGTTTTTGTAGGTTTAGAGGAAAGCAAACTGCACCCTGACCTCCCTCTCATGGAGAAGACTCAGTCTGGTCCCCTGTAGGTGTTGCAGAGTCCATATATATTCCCTCTTGGCCGCTGGCAGAGCAAGTTCCGAGTCGCGGTCACTGGTGGCACAGGATCTTTTGCTTGTACCCAAAACCATGGCAGCGGCGGTTGTCTGGGAAGCTCTGGACCATCAGAGAGGTTCCAAGCAGCGATCGCACAGAGATTTTCCCACTGGCCCAGGCAGGGAGTGCCTGGTCTTTCTGGGTCTAAGAGCGCTGAGCTTGCGTGTACCTCTCTCAGGGGAGGCTGTGGGTTGCGCGTGGGTCTCAGGCTCTGAGAGCAGTGTTCAGTTCTGAGAGCTCCAGGCTGGGCCTTCGCCCACCTCTCTTATGGGAGAGTTTGGGGCACGTGCGTGTCTCAGGCTGTGAAACAATGGTCCATGTCTAAAATCGCCGGGCTGAGCCTTCGCACACCTCTCTCAGGGGGCAGTGAGGGGTGCGTGTGTCTGAGGCTCTTTAGAGGGCTCAGTGTTCTGCCGTCTGGCGAGGCTCCTAGTCCCTCACAGGAGCCAGACCCCACATGTTCTCAGGCATGCTGGTGGCTCAGGGGCCAAGACTTGGTTTCTCCGCCGCACTCTCTCTGGCTCTGTGCCATGGGAGGCTGTTCTGTGTCCTGGGGACTTAAGCCCCTGTCCCTAGCCATCCCAATTCCCACAATTTCTCCCCACCACCCCGCGATCCTTTGCTCTTTCTGAATGCTTTCAACCAGTCTCCAAGTTAATGCTGGTCCCCAGATGCAGGGCACTCTCATATTAGGGGTATTACTTTGCAATAGGTCGCCTATGGTGGCTCCCTCCCCCTTTTGTGTATCTTCTGATATCATCCGATGTTCCCACTCCACTTTACCTGCCCACTGGTGTCTTCTGCCCCTCTAGTGATGCAGATGTGTAAAATTCTGATCTCAGGTTGATTTCATGGGTGATCGGATTTCTTTGGTAGGTAATCAGCTCACTTTAGGGTACAGGTTGAAAAGGCGCCTCCTCCTACTTCCCCGCCATCTCGTCTCCCCTGGATGTTAACCTTTACTTTCAGTTGGTCTTTTGGGGAAGGGGCCTGCTGTGCTGATTCTCAGGTGTCTTTCCCTGGGCAGAGTTGCACCACTCCTTGCCAGGGAACCTGGCTCTGTGTAAGCTGTTTTGGGTTGATATGTGTGGCTTTTTTAAATGTTTTTATTTTATTTTATTTTTATTTTATTTTATTTTATTTTTTTCAGTGTTCCAGCATTCATTGTTTATGTACCACACCCAGTGCTCCACGCAGTATGTGCCCTCCATTATACCCACCCATCTCCCCAGGCTCACCCATCTCCCCGCCCCCTCACCTGCAAAACCCTCAGTTTGTTTCTCAGAGATATGTGTGACTTTGTTCCCTGAATACTTTCTGGGCCTCCTTAGAGGATCAAAATAAAAATTGCTGTCCCCAATCTCCAGCCCCAGAACCAAAATACTGTGGTCCCCTCTCTTCAGTAAACCCTCATGGATAAGTCATCTTCACTTTTGTGTGTGCCAAACTCTGCAGACTCCTACAGTTTCGTGCCCACAAGATCCTCTCTTGGGGAAGGCTGAGGATTGCCTGTTACAGTCTTTTACAGGCCCCCCACTGTGAGAGCTGTCCCCGTATCATGTGTGAACCCTCACCACCACTCCCAGGGTAAGGTAGAGGGTCCCTGTATTCCTCTCCTTTGCAGGTTACACACAGGGAGAGTGGTCACCAGATCCAGCTGTGGCTCAGTTTATGGCCAACCAAGGAGAGAGCACCCTTCCAGGATTTCTGTCCATAACCAGGTTTCCTGCTCCAGTACTTGGCAACTTACCGGCTCAGGTACCTCCATTCTTTCTGTGACTGCTGGGATGAGGAGACCACATATCTTACCTAGACTTCTGCTCTGTTTTTACCACCTGAGCACCAGGCAGGCAGGAATGTCTCTTACTGGAACAGAGTTCTAAAGGTTCTGAATTTACCCCTGGGCTATATCACTTTCTTGATGTGTATTAAGGAGGGCATGTATTGCATGAATCATTCGGTGTTATACATAAACAATGAATCATGGAACACAATAAAAAAATAATGATGTCCTGTATGGTGACTAACATAACATAATTTTAAAAAGTATTGAGATATCACCTTACACCAGTTAGAATGACCAAAATTAGCAAGACAGGAAACAACATGTGTTGGAGGGGATGTGGAGAAAGGGGAACCCTCTTACACTGTTGGTGGGAATGCAAATTGGTGCAGACTCTTTGGAGAACAGTGTGGAGATTTCTCAAGAAATTAAAAATAGAACTTCCCTATGACCCTGCAATTACACTACTGGGTATTTACTCCAATGATACAGATGTAGTGAAAAGAAGGGCCATCTGTACCCCAAAGTTTATAGCAGCAATGGCCACGGTTGCCAAACTGTGGAAAGAACCAAGATGCCCTTCAACTGATGAATGGATAAGGAAGATATGGTCCATATACACTATGGAGTATTATGCCTCCATCAGAAAGGATGAATCCCCAACTTTTGTAGCAACATGGACGAGACTGGAAGAGATTCTACTGAGTGAAATAAGTAAAGCAGAGAGAGTTAATTATCATATGGTTTCACTTATTTGTGGAGCATAACAAATAGCATGGAGGACATGGGAAGTTAGGAGAAGGGAGTTGGGGGAAATTGGAAGGGGAGGTGAACAATGAGAGACTATGGACTCTGAAAAACAATCTTAAGGGTTTGAAGAGGTTGGGGGGTGGGAGGTTGGGGGAACCAGGTGGTGGGTATTAGAGAGGGCACGGATTGCATGGAGCACTGGGTGTGGTACAAAAACAATGAATACTTTATGCTGAAAATTAATAAAAAAATTATTTAAAAAATATAAAAATTAAAATTAAAAAAAAAACAGATGAAGTACTGATAAATGCTTTAATAGGGATGAACCTTGAAGACATGCTAAGGAAAAGAAACCCATCACAAAAGACCACATATTATATAACTCATTTATATAAAGTATTCAGAATAGGCAAATAGTCAAAGAAAGATTAATGACTGCCTAATACTAAGGGAGTTGAGGATAAATAGGGATTGAATGCTACTGGGTGTGAAGTTTCCTTTAGGGGTTATAGAAATATTGTAAAATCAGAAAATAATGATAGATGCACAATCCCATGAACTTATTAAAAAATCATTGAATTGTATAGAATAAATGGATGAATCCTATGGTATATCAATAAAACTTTTTAAAAATTCAAAAAAATGTAAATACCTCCATTTCATTGCAGCATAATTACAAAAGCCAAAACATGGAAATAATCCAGATGTTCATCAATGGATGAATGGATAAAGAAAGTGTGCTGTACTGGGTGATGTATGGAAGTGTTGAATCACCATATGTACTGAAAATATTGTAACATTGCATGTTAACTATACTGGAATTAAAATAAAATAAACCAGAAATTGTCATATATTTAATAAGAAGTCTAGGGATAGAAAGTCTAAAGAAATTATACTTGTAATCTCTCTCTCTCTCTCTCTCTCTCTCTCTCTATATATATATATATATATAGGCTTGTTAGATCATACATATATATATATATATATATACATATAAATATATATGGGCTTGTTAGATTATATATATATATATATATATATATATGAAAAACGAGAGAGAGAATGGAATGTACTCAGCATAAAAATGAATGAAATTTGACATTGCAACCTTGAGGGCATTATGCTCAGTGAAAGACTGACAGAGGATGATAAATACCAAATGATACCACTTACATGTGGAATCTTAAAAGCAAGAATAAAACCAAACCAAGCATGTGGATATTCAGAACATATTGGTAGTGGCCTGAGCTAGGGTGTGGGGAGTGGGTGAAATGGGTGAAAGTGCCAAAAGTTACAAATTTCCACTTATAAAATGAGTAAATCATGGGGATGTCATGTCCAGAATGGTGACTCTAGCTAACAAAATTGTATTGTAGATTTGAAGTAACTAGGAGAGGGGGTCTTGACAGCTGTCATCACGAAAGAAAGTTTGTATATTGTGATGGATGTTAACTGAACTTGTTTTGATCACTTTGTAATACATACAAATACTGAATCTTTCCATTGTACACCTGAAATTAATGCAATGTTTTGTCAATTACATGTTAATCACATTAGCAAAAACAAAATAATGACAAGGGACAGTTCATCCATAACTGGCTCAGGGCTGAGTAACAAGGATTTTGGGTCCAGGTGAGTGTTGCAGGCATTCCTTACATATAGCATCACTACCCATTGGCTGAGGCTTAAAGGGGATGATGATAAAGTCTACATTATCCAGAAGAGCAGTGAAGAAGTAAAAAAGAATGACAACAGACACAAGTGAAAACCATGATTTCATATTTTCCTCTATGATGAAAGAATAAATGGCCTTAGATGTCAAGTATAATTTTATCCATCTGAGTAATACAACTATGGTTATTCCTTCAGGAAGTTTAGGGAAATTTTACTTGGCATGATATATGTTATTTGAAAAGAAATCATATTTAAGAAATCAAGCCAATCCTGTAAATGATATGGAAGTTTTCATATATTTCTGATCCAATGATTGGAAGAACTGTGGGAATGTATGAAAATGGATAAAGGGAAAGACTGTATATCAGGCAGAGTAAAAGGCATAGAAAATAGAGTTATCTGAAATTGTAAAGAGAAGTTGTATTCTAAGAAATGGAAATTTTAGGAAATACATAGGATCAAATTCTATTTCAAAATGATCAAAAATCATGACTTTGAGCCCTGCAATCAAGGGCACTTCTTCACCACCAAGACACTTGTTCCTTTTAGAGCTTCCATCTTGAAGAATCTCATTAGAGCCTCCTTTATGTCTCTGTTCCTCAGGCTGTAGATGAAGGGGTTCAGCATGGGTGAGACCACAGTGTACATCACTGAGGCTACTGCAGTTGCATGGGAGCTCTGGGTAATAGCAGAGCTAAAGTACACTCCCAGGACTGTAAAATAAAATAAGGAGACAACTGAGAGGTGAGATGCACAGGTGGAAAATGCTTTGTACTTACCCTGAACTGATGAGATTCTACATATGGAGGAAATAATCTTTGAGTAGGAGTAAAGTATCCCAGCAAGGGGACCACCAGCCAGCAACATAGCTGAAACATACATTACTATGTCATTAAGAAAGGTATCAGAACAGGCAAGTTGGATCATCTGATGAAGTTCACAGAAAAAGTGGGGGATTTCCACCTCTGAACAGAAGGAAAGCCGCAACACCATCAAGCTTTGTAACAAGGAATTCAGGACACTCATGATCCAGGACACCATAACCAGCAGTACACAGAGCAGGGTCTTCATGGTGACCATGTAGTGCAGTGGGTGGCAGATGGCCACAAAGCGGTCATAAGCCATTACAGCCAGGAGAAAATTGTCCCAGCCTGAAAAGAGTGTGGAAAAACAGATTTGGCTGATGCATTCTGTATAGGTTATAATTTTGCTCTGTGTCTGTATATTCACCAACATCTTTGGGATGATGGTGGAGGTGACACAGATGTCTACAAAGGACAAATTGGCAAGGAAGAAGTACATAGGTGTGTGGAGGTGGGAGTCGGAGCTGACAGCCAGGATTATGAGCAGGTTTCCAAACACAGTGATCAGGTACATGAAGAGGAAAAGCCCAAATATGGGGGGCTGCAGTTCTGGATCATTTGATAATCCCAGAAGAAGAAATCCTGAAATGTGGGTATCATTGCCTGGTCCCATGTGGTTGTTATGATGTCTAGAAATTAAGAAAAAAAAACATCATTTTTGACACAAATGGGCATTGGTATCATGGCAGAAATGTTATAATTACAATGACATGTGAGGGATAAAAAGCAGGCATAAAATAAATTGGATGAGTTGTATTCTTTCCTGGGAGTTTGGGAAGGCCTAAACAGAAGGAGACATTTGCAGAGAGACCTCAGAGAAGACTGCATGGGAGACACAAGGTCATCTGGTGACTTCTGTGCCCTGCAGGAAAAAAAAAAAAAGCCAGTGCAAAGACCCTGAGAAGGCACTCTTGTTTGGATAACCAGGACTCAAATGGAGCCAGTGTGGTCAGGAGACCATCAAGAGGAAGAGTGATGAGAGGTAGTGTCAGGAAAGGCTGAAGAATGAGGTTGCCTCCCCACTGAAGTGTAGACTTCAATACAAGGAATACTTCATTCACATGATGTTCCTTGAACATCAGTAAAAATGGATCCCTTCCTTATTTCCAAGTGTTATTTAACATCTCTATTTTAAGGGTCCCAAATTGGCCACGTGGCTACCAGGCACTTCTCACCCCCAGCTACAGTACTTAGGAAAGAATTTATACTAATTAAGTTCTCAACATCAAATTATCACTACCCTCATGAATATAGAAAAGTACCCAATTTCCAGGTGGTAAGACTTCCATGAATATGTAATTCAGTGCTCAATTTTAACGTGACCATTTTCTCTTGCATTTAGAGAAGTATAAAAAAACTAAAAGGAGGAAGAGAAAAGGAAGAGGGTGAAGAAAAGACAAATAAACCCAGATGGGTCCTTAAAGATCATGATGATAAGAAAGTTTTCCCGCTTCTGGCTGAATTCCAGCTCTAGGTATATCACCTTGATCTCCAAAGTAACTAATAAAACAGCAAAAAGCAATTTCTCCAAAAGAGTGAAAAGATGTTTGTAAGACACCTTAATGTATGAACATCCACTAGAAATATGAGCAAAAGGAACAAATTCACAGCTGACCTCATGAAATATACAACATACAGAAATGAGGGGTTATCAAGATGAAATTGTCAAGACTTTTTTTATATGATATTAAATGCAAAATTTTGGAATCAGTGAATTAGTTTTGGACCTTGGATCTACCACATCTTAACTGTTTGAATTTGGGAAGACAACCAATTCATTTTAAAATGTTATTCTCACTGGAATAGTCAGGTTAGTGATATTCACCTTCCTAAGGTGGTTGACAAATTGAGTCCATATATGTAAAAAGTTGATCATAGTTCCTTCCTATTAATATATGAATGGTTATTCTCTTTGTTCAGTCATCTTTGGGTGTGAGTGTAAATACATATGGATTTGTGTGTTTGCATGTGCACACATGCTTAATATAATGTGAAAAAAAAAGCATTGGAATCCAGTAAAGGAAAGGGGAAAAATGGTTTTAACAGAAGGCCAGTTCCTGCTGTGTGAAAAACAGTATGGTTGGAGAGTAAATCAAAAGACCAGGTTGCAGAGGGAAAATACAGTTTGGGTGCTGAGTTTGTCTCAGACTCCAGGGAGCCCATCCTGACTGCTCCACTGGCCTCCTTATGGAGTCCACCTCAGGACTCTGATCTAATTGTCATTCCTATCTCCATGCACTGTTTGTTTGTTCGACCATACTTGTTTTTCTGTGGCTGGAGAGTGGATGAGGCTGGCTCTTCTCTTACTTTGCTTGGTGGCATTTATTCCTTTGTTATCTTAGTCTTTGGTGTTTGCTCTTTGTTTGACACAAAATTCAATGGGTACATGTCAGTCTTATTACGGTGTTCCTTGTCTGACATGTAGAAACCTTCCCAAATCATACTCTGTAAATCTTGAATGTTCCAAATCTAACCCCTTTCAGTATATGATTTATTCTTGAAGACCCTGTGTCATATGAGCAGTTATTTCCCTCACCAGCTTTGTCCATGTCTTTATGTTCACAAGGGTGTGCATTTTTATAGAAACAAGTTTTAAGAAAATGAGATCTCATTAAATAGGAAGAATGGTAGGGAAAATAAACTCATGTTAAATATGGTGGATTCAGAGAAACTTCTTCAACAAAACTGGACAATACTCTAATACTAACATCTTACAGAAAAGATATATAATAACAACAATCACATCAACATGGGTCTCTAATTCATGATTAAATGGATAAAACCTTGGGAATAAAAGAACAGGAATATATACTCTTTAATACAGAATGCAGGAAGCAATAACTCAAGTTATAGTTTGAGTGTATGTAACTATAAATGTACTCAGTTATGTTTAAGAGAAAGGTACAGGGGATCTTTAATTGGATAGGAAAGAATGCATTTCATATAATAATAGGAAGTGATTGTTATTTTTAAAAAAAATGATCTAACTCCAGAATATAAAATGGTAGAATTAAGGACAATTAGATATGCAATAAGATGGCAATATGTGAAAAAAGCAATTCTTACTACCGAGGATGCAGAAGAATTTCAATACTTCAAAGCAATGAAGGGAACACAATGTCATCAACTGATAATTTTTACCACTCAAAATATATAGGCTCTCACTCAGTCCTATGCATACATCTATACAAGATACATGGATTAAGTGGCAAAGAGCAAACTGGTTTTAAAAATAATGCCATTCTTTCTTACAAGAATACAATCAAAACACAATAAAAACACACAGATCTCACTACAAGAAAGCAACACACTTGCAAAAACAACTTGTATATAGGAAGTAAGTGGCTAACAAAGTCAAAAATATATGCAGCCTCTTTAGTATTAAAATAGTTATGAACTGCTCCTTGGTATATCCCTTCATGCATATTAAGTACATTTTCCCCTGTGGATGCCACTGGAAGAGAAAACTGTGAAGTATATATCTCAAAAACTGCTGTCACAAGGTATTATTTACCTCCACAGACCTGGATCCTTCTAATAAAAATAGAACAAGCTAAATACACCCCATCTGAACTTTCTTTTAAAAATATTCTCACTCCAGTGCTCACACTTCCAAGCCTAATGTCCTGTTTTCCTACTCCCCTTACCTGCAAAAACTCCTTGAATATGTTCTAATTTCACTGGAAACACTTTATGTCCCTTAATCCTTCCTCTGTCTCATCCAACTTGACTCCCATTCCCACAACATGTTGTGATCCCTTTATTGATGAGTCCAGTGAACACTTCTTTTTTTTTTTAAGATTTTATTTTTTTATTTGACAGACAGAGATCACAGGTAGGCAGAGAGGCAGGCAAAGAGAGAGAGGAGGAAGCAGGCTCCCCTCGGAGCAGAGAGTCCCATGTGGGGCTCGACCCCAGGACCCTAGGATCATGATCTGAGCCAAAGGCAGAGGCTTTAACACACTGAGCCACCCAGGCACCCCAGCACTTCCTTTAAACATATATTAAATGAATTATTTTTAAAGTATTTTGCACTTTATTTTTTACAGTCTTTATTTATTTGACAGAGAGAGAGACAGAGTAAGAGAAGGAACACAAGCAGGAGTGGGAGAGGTAGAAGCAGGCTTCCCACTGAGCAGGGAGACTGATGTGGAGCTCGATTCCAGGACCCTGGGACCATGATCTGAGCCAAACGCAGATGCCTAATGACTGAGCCACCCAGGTACCCCTTAAACTAATTATTTTTAACCTTAGTATTTAACCCAGCAAACAAACATTTAATCTCTTGGCTCTAGATAAGTTGGTTAGGTTCACAGGTAATCTTAGGTAAAGGCTCTCAGGTTCCATTCTCTCTGATCCTTTCCTGAAATACTTGTTGAGTTCTTAGACTCACCTGGGTGAGGACTGTAAGATGAAAGTCTTCATGTGGAGGTCTGAATTCCTACCCAAGTGGTTGGTAATGGAGACCCAAGCTCTGTTCCTGCACAAGACAGCAGGAAGTGGTGAAACATGGGTTCCCCAGCCAGACTTAGGAACTCAAAAGCAACAACCATGTCCTTTCCTGCACAAGGATAAGCCATGGTAAGGGACTGCAGTGGAGGAGATATTTACAGCTCCCTATGTCTAGTCATTAGGCACTGTTTCTAGTGTTACTTCCACCTCTGAGCATATTATTTCCCTGTGGACCACTGGTCTGCAAATTTCCAAAAAGAAAATTTTTTTTCAGCCAATTCTCTGTTCATAGGAGACCATATTAGAAGTCAGGTGAATCCAACTTTTCTTACTTCATCTCCATGATCTTGCCTGACTTCCAGAGCTCTAATCTCCTTCCATCTTATTACAATTTTGAGTTAGTATTTTCTCCAAATCTAAGACTGAAGGACCGCTTAATCAGGTCTCATGGACCTCCAAAATATTTATTTATTATTTATTTTTTAATTTTTTCAATGTAACAGTATTCATTATTTTTGCCCCACACCCAGTGCTCCATGCAATCCGTGCCCTCTACAATACCCACCACCTGGATCCCCCAACCTCCAAACCCTGACCCTTCAAAACCCTCAGATTGTTTTTCAGAGTCCATAGTCTCTCATGGTTCACCTCCCCTTCCAATTTCCCTCAAATCCCTTCTCCTCTCCATCTCCCCATGTCCTCCATGTTATTTGTTATGCTCCACAAATAAGTGAAACCATATGATAATTGACTCTCTCTGATTAACTAATTTCACTCAGCATAATCTCTACCAGTCCCGTCCATGTTGCTACAAAAGTTGGGTATTCATCCTTTCTGATGGAGGCATCATACTCCATAGTGTATATGGACCACATCTTCCTTATCCATTCGTCCGTTGAAGGGCATCTTGAATCTTTCCACAGTTTGGCGACCGTGGCCATTGCTGCTATATACATTGGGGTACAGATGGCCCTTCTTTTCACCACATCTGTATCTTTGGGATAAATACCCAGTAATGCAATGGCAGGGTCATAGGGAAGCTCTATTTTTAATTTCTTGAGGAATCTCCACACTGTTCTCCAAAGTGGCTGCACCAAATTGCATTCCTACCAAGAGTGGAAGAGGGTTCCCCTTTCTCCACATCCCCTCCAACACATGTTG